AATGCACAGTTTTACTAGATTTTTTTAGAGTTTTACAAATAGTATAAATATAGGAATTCTCTTTCATTGTATGGATACATTAGAAGACTTTTTCATATGAATTAGAGGGTGTTTGGTAATAATAATACGGAACTTATCAAGAATTTATTTCTTACGGTGTTCAAAACATTGGGGTTGAATTTTTGAAGTGTGTTGATGCGAACCTGGTTAGCAAGGTTGCTAACGAACCCACAAGAATTGACAATGAATTCCAAAAAGGCCCAAATAATGATCAAGATTTAGAAATTGACCCGCAAAAGTGAACTAAGCAACCGAACGTATATGAAACAAACAACCTCTTAATCACGCAATCTTGTAATCTCTTCCTGATTTGTGGATTTGACCCAAAGAATTAATGAATCAAACAATCCAACGATAACGGCAATGTGAAGGACCTTTTGATTACACAACCCAAAGAATCTAACCCGATGATTTGTTTGAATGACACAAAATATTAAATCTTGATAAATTTGGTATTTTGAAGCAAAAGCTTCGAGAGGAAAATCTTCATTCAATTCATGATAAAAGTCTTGGTAATCTTACAATGAAAATAAAAATCCTATTTATATGGAAAATATAGAAACCTAATTAAATTGAAAAACTAACACTAAACATGGTAAAACGTGACTAAAGGAATCCTAATAATATAAAATTACCAAATTAAGAGTTTTAATTAAGTAAAACTTGTACGCAAAAATCTAGAAAATTCTGGTCAGTTGATAGCCTAGCCTCCCAAACCCAACATGTAGCTGAGCCTTGGCTTGTGATCTTCATCATACAACTTGACCCTAAGCTTGTGACCTCCATCCCCTTTGATTCCTTGGCGCTAACACGCATTCGGCCGGTTTTAACGACTTTATTTAAACTCAATTTGGTTTTTAACTTTTCCCCAACAATCCTCAAATATTTGGTAATTTGTGGTGCACCCTAGATCGCATCATGTGTAATCAAGAGTCTTTCAAGCAATGTTCTTGTCGAATTATTTAGGTCATATTTTCTTGGTTCAAATCCAAAATTTCGGAAGATATTCGTAAGCCTTGTGATCAAGATGTCGTTCATTTATTACACGTTCAGTTGCTTGGTTCATTGTTCACGGGTTAATTCCTAAACCTTGATCATATTCGAGCGTTCTTGGGATCCGGGGTTAATATCTTGTGGGTTCAATAGTGACCGTACTAACCAAGTTCGCATCAACAAGACATATGACATTCTTGATTATGTGTATTCTGATGTTTTAGGATCAATGAAGGAGTTGTCCAAAGGCGAATACGTAGATGCAGATTATATAGGCGACTTAGATGACAGAAGGTCCCATATAGGTTATGTTTTCACGCTACCTGATGGCCCTATGTGTTGGAGATCAATAGTGCAGTCACTTGTGGTATTATCTACAACTGAAGCAGAGTACATGACAATAATTGAGATAGCCAAGGAATTATTGTAGTTGGGAGGGCTTGCTAGGGAACTTGGGATCTAGCAAGATGAAATGAAATCGTAATGTAATAGTCAAAGCGCAATCTTCTTAGCAAAAAATCAAATTTATCATGCAATAACTAAGCTCATTGATGTGAGATTTAATAAGATAATGGAGTTGGTTAGTTCATGAGAACCGTTGTTAGAGAAAGTGTCTCAACCTATTGGTCCCAGATGGTGTATTTTCCCCAATTATGATTTTCTAGTACTTTCTCTTAAGGGGTGATTATTTTGTGTGTGGCTCATATAGAATGGAGCACAGTCTTACTGAATCAATTGGTCGATGTTGAAGCTGAGGGGAGCATAGCACACCGAATGAAATAGAATATGGGCCCTAAGCACAGTCTTACTGAATCAATTGGTCGATGTTGAAGCTGAGGGGAGCATAGCACACCGAATGAAATAGAATATGGGCCCTAAAATCATATATGGGCTTGGGCTTGTATTTGTATAAATACTGATGATATAATCCTATTAATCATACTGAATAAAAAAAATCTCCATTTCACTCGTGGTGGACGTAGGCACATCATCGAACCATGTAAATGCTTATATTGATTTCTCTCTTCCACATCTTTATTATTTTGCATAAAATCTAACAACTCTCTTGAAAACTAATAGAAAATTTCATTTCCTTTAGTGGATGAATTTAGAGTGATATATTCTTACTTAATTTTATGAATGTTTATTTAAATAAATTTACATAAGACAAAAAATACTGCTTGGTTTTATCCATTGGCTCGTGGACCTCATGGATTGAGCCAAGCAACCCATGAACCCGCTCGTTCGATTTTTTTTTTTTTTGAATTTAAAAAAATTGAAATTATCTTAATTTTTCTAAGGTAGAGATCGACTAATTTAAACATAGGTGAAATTAAAATTACGCACGTAAACAATATTTACAAATCTTAAAAATATAAATTATTTTAAAACTGTTTCAGTAAATTGTAAATACAGATTTCAACTTTCTATAAAAATTGAAATTCCTACTTAAAATAGCTTTAAAAAAGCTAAAGCTATATTTTATCATTGTGACGTTGACGAATAGTCAAACCTCGGATTTAAATACTGCTGAACCTGTCAATTTTGAAGTAAACAATGGGGAAAGTTATTAAGCCCAGAACATAGAATGGGCTGGGTATGTCATCAAGTTCTTGGTCTTAAATGTTTCTTTATATTGGGTTTGCCCTAACACAACGAGTTAAATAACACTTGTGTAATTCTTGTAGCATACCGTAATATAGCCCCCGTAATATTTTATTTTTTTCTCTCTTATTTTCAATCACACAATCTTCCATAAAATAATATTACACGAAAATCGAAAACTTTTCTTTCTTTTTCAATGCCTCATTTTTCAAAAAAATACTATTTCATCCATTTTCATTTTTAAAAAATGGGGGCCAAACGTGGGCATATTATAAATGATGGTGTGGTGGTTTGTAATTTTAAAAATTATTTTTTTCTTCTTTTAGGTGCTTGAGTAAGATGTTATCTAGTTTGTACTCTTCTTGCATATCTTCGAATTTAAATGAATAATAGAGATTACTATAATTGATTTTCACCCAAAATGTCATGTCATGTCAATTAGTTACGAGTATCCCACTTTTTAATTTTAAATTTGTGACTATTTCTATTGATAATTAAGTTTGGTGTAAATTACCAACTTCCATCTAAAAATACCTTCCCCTCTAAACAAATAAAAATAAGATAATTCAAGTAATGTGCTTTGAGTATGTTAATGTATGTTTCACTGTCAAAAATCAAGTTGTGTATCGAACAGAATTACCAGAAATGCAATTATTACACACAGTAGAGGTAGATTGGCTGTTGCCTCCCTTAAAAGCTCCTCTTTTACACTAACCCAACAAAACCATGTGGTCATGAAGACAACCACGCGCCACGTCTTAAAATCATTTTATTATATTTAAAAAAAAATGCTTCGACTATATAAATACTTGATATTTTACCCTTTTAATGTGTTTCAGGGCATCGACCACTCACTCGCTTTTGGCAGCCATTATTTTCGAACTTTTTTTGACCATACATTCACATATTAAATATTCTACACGAAAATTCAAATTTTTTCATACTTTTTAATCGCACATTCTATAAAAGTTAACTATGCAAAACATCATTTCCCGAAATAATGATTGTCGAACAGGGGCCTAGAGGAGGCAAAGTGCTTGTTAGAATTTTTTTTTTTTTTTTTAAAGAATTAATACTGTATTGAGCTTTGATATTCTATTTTAAAACGTCGTTTTTGTTTAAAAATAATCTAAACTCTTATGTAACAAAAATTACTTTCAATATAATATCACCCTTTAACAAATAACAAAGTGTGCCGATATAAAAGCAGTTGAGAGTCAAAGATAATTAATTTGCAGTCGTTTAGTAGATATGTGAATAGCAAGAGGAAAAGAGAACCAACTGGCGTGGCCCCAAACTTCAGAGAAGATACCTGAAAAATAGAAAAAGTATAAAATGTTGCAAAAAAGAGATTTTATTTATTTATTAATTTTTAATTTTTTTATTTTTTAAAGCAATGTCTAATTAGACACTTACTTCTCTCAACGAGTAAATATATTTGTAGTCACCATACTTTAGAGAAATCGCAATTAGATTTGGATTTTAATTTGTCTTAATTGAGTAATTTTATTTTAGATTTCACTACTCTGTCATCTATTGTCCCAAAACAAACTGCTGCTACATGATATCCTAGAAGCAATAATAATAAAGTGAAGATTAAAATAATGTCTTTGAATTAAAAAATTAAAATGCGTGTTTCTTGATTTTAACACTTGTATGACGTGAGGTATCGATACATTTAGATGCCACACAACCAATTTTATGGAAGGTTCGTGTGGATGCCAATTAAACATTTTTTTTTCTCAATTCGAAAGATGACTTGTGATACAATGGTTAAAATTAAATTTAAAATTGACTTTCAATGACCCAATCGAGATAAATTAAAGTTCAATTAGCTAACTAAATTTCCGCTCAAAGGTTTAGTGACCATAGATGAAATTTAGTCTCTCTTAATACACTATAGTTTTTTTCAAAAGTCTAAACAACTTTTATCATCATCATTCTAATTTCAGTTCGACTTAATTAAGGGTTCAAAAGAATAAACTAAGTACTTATTTTAATAAAAAAAATGGATATAATCATTGTACACTATGTATGTTATGCCCGACACCAAAATTTCTTTTTCTTTTGCACTTAAGTAATTAATTAAACTACAAAGGCTAATTAAAGTGCTAAACTCCAAGTTGTTACGGCCCTGCTACATGTACACCGAGTTTTATAGTTCGGTGTACATCCCCCTCACATGGAGCGGAGTCTGCGCATTAAATGAGCGTGAGCCCCTACAGGGGGCATTATTCAAGAACGAATTGCACATTGGCATTGAAGTTCCCAATTTTTAGGTTTTTAACACTAAATTTTAGTTTCCAACAAGTAATGCGCATTAAGTGCCCGTGCCACAAAGTAAGTAAACCTCAGGTGCTCGACTTTAAGAACTCAAAACTATCTTTTTTCTTTATATTACTAGCATTCAGCATAAACTCTCCCTCCCCATCTTTGCTCCTTCGATCATAAAAAGGAAAAAAGCAGATTAAAAGATGAATCGTCTTGCAACATTATCAGAAGAGCCCTTAAACGAAGAAGATTCAGCTGCAAATTGCTCAAAGAAGGCGCTGACATGGCGAAACTGGCTCAAGAATCATTTCCCTCTTCTTTTCAACAAGAAATCTGACCTCAAGATTCTTTTAAGCGTTCTGGGTTGCCCTCTTTTTCCTGTTTCTGTTAATCCAGAACAGCCCTTTACTGAAGTAAGCCTTTTTTTCCCCTCTCCCAACTTATCTTAAAACACATCAATTCAAGAACCAAAGGTTTTTCAGATCGGAATCTGAGGTTTTGCCCTTCTTTCAAATTTTGCATTTTCAAGGATCTGTAGTTATACCAGCATAAGTTCCTTTCCCAGTAGACAACTTGTGCTGTTTTTTTAGGCTTCCTTTTACTTTTCAAAACCATGTTGTTCAGCATTAATTGTGACATTTATGTTTGCTTTTATTTCTTGGTTATGTGAGTTCACTATCTCAATGTAAAACAGTAAAAGCATATAATATGTATGGTTTCCACCATGAACTATTCTTGTACAAAATTACAAATAAACACCATGAACTAACCCTATGAAAAAAAAGAAGACAAAATCCTGAAAATGAGACCTATATTTTAATCTATTCAATCCATGGATGTCAGAGCATACTGTGATTATGTATTGAAGAATTATGTTACTAAACTGGGGTGTTGCGTCTGGACACCGTAGAAGCACGTGTTAGTTTTCACCATACGATCCTTAATTTTAGTAACTACTGCACCTTGAATATAGATTATTTGAATGGCTCTCTTACTCAGGTATCTTCTTCTGCACAATACATAATACAACACTTCACAGCTGCAACTGGCTGCCGGAAGCTAGAGGGAGTCATAAAGAACATGTACGCCACCGGAAAAATTACGATGGTGATGGTTGACGAGACCAGCAAGCCCGGTAGGCCTAATGGCATGTCACAGAAGGGTTGCTTTGTGATGTGGCAAATGGTTCCTAATAAGTGGTTAATTGAACTAGTTGTGGGTGGTCATAAAGTTGCTGGAGGTAGTGATGGCAATGTGGCTTGGAGGCACACTCCTTGGCTAGGTGCTCATGCAGCTAAAGGCGGTGTCCGTCCTCTTCGTCGTGCAATTCAGGCAAGTAATTGATTGCAGTGATTTTCCTTCTGTCATTCTCGTTTCAAGGAAACTACACATCATTTTCATTGCTGGTATGAATGACATTAACTTGTAAACAATGTAATTCTTTCTGGTAAATAGGCAAAGTCTATTCTTGCACATTTCTTTAGCTGTACGATTCCTACAAGACAATATATCGTTCTATTTCTAAATCCTGAACCTCAGAATTAACTCGAATCGGTTGGCACTATGTTTTGCAATTTTGAACAGATTTTCTTGAAATAAATCTTTTTTCATGGCCTTGTAATCACCCAAATTTGTAGGGATTGGATCCGGTGACTATATCAGCTGTGTTCTCTACAGCGCAATACATGGGAGAAAAGCGAATATACGGCCTTGACTGCTTTGTGTTAAAATTATCAGCTGATCATACGGACCTAGTGGACCGCAGTGACAACACAGCAGAGATGATCAAGCACGTCATGTTTGGTTACTTCAGTCAAAGAAGTGGATTGCTGGTGTATTTAGAGGACTCATACTTAACCAGAATTCAGTCACCCGGTTCTCGCCCCATGTACTGGGAAACATCAATGGGTACAAAAGTGGAGGACTATCGGAGTGTAGAGGGCACAATGATCGCTCATTCTGGTCAATCCAACGTTATCATCACACAGTTCGGAGACAATTTGAAAGCAGGGCCAGCAATAGCACGGATGGAGGAGACATACACAATCGACGATTTGGCATTTAATGTCCCTGGCCTTTCTATTGACTCCTTTATTCCTCCAGAAGAAGTGCAAAAAGACTATCCCCAAGAAAATCTGGATTGGAGATCTCCGTTACATGGATAATATTTTATACAATGAATGGTTTTAACTTCTTTTTATTGACCTAGATTAATTTACTCTGTTATGGGTGTGTATGCAAATATTCATATGCACTCAAGTGCTTGATGAAGTGATGATAGTCTTTTTTCCATGGCTATAACATGTGTGCAATATTTCTTCTTTCATTTGAGTGTGTATATTTTCCATTTCCACCCTATTCAAGCTGCAATTACTAGCCTACAATCTGCGACTAGAGACCACTGTCATAACGATGCTTAACCAGATCGAGCTCTTATACTTGGTGATGGGTGGGTTCTTACATTGTTCAAGTTCATGTCACCAAATAACGATATATAACAAATTTACTTTTGAAGAACGAATTATATGTAGTCGAATGGACAGTTGCTTTTCATCCATACGTCATCAAATCCCGGTAGGCAGATTCGGATTCGTCAAAAATTTGAACCTCAAGCATCACAAAATATATAATAGTGAAGGGATGAAAAATTTGCCTTTAAACCCATGTTTTTTACTCCAAAAACAGCAACACAATCAAAATGTCATCGCTGTTTCGTTATAGTCGTTGGGCTTCCCAATTCAAAAAATCTCCACCGATCTTTACTTCCTTTTCCACCGCCACCACCGAGGCACAACCGAATCGCCCTTCGCCGCCTCCAATCCGAGTAGGCCTCACCGACTCCGTAGGCCGAGCAGTTTTTGCGACTCGGAGAATCGGCACGGGTGAACTCATTCACACCGCCAAACCCATTGTTGCTCACCCTTCTCTTCCTTCGCTTCACAAAGTCTGCTATTTCTGCCTCAGAAAGCTCCCAAACCAAAAACCCCACTCTGAAGCTCATAAAAATGTGGCCTTTTGCAGCGAACACTGCAAAGACCAGTCCAAGGTGCATGGAATCTCCTTCTAGTTAATGAACAAATTAATATTTCTTTAGCTTTGTTTTCGTTTATTATGGATATATGTTATGGTCTCCATATGCTTCTTGATATAATATGCTTGTGGGTTGATGTATCATCTAAATTATTTGAATTAAAATATGACTACTAAGTGTTTGAAAATGTGCTCCCGAGAGAATTAGCATCTTTTGATTCTGGTAGTTTCATGTATACTCATTTTCTTTGTGTGGAATGAATACAGTATTTTCTGCTTTCTTGGAGATTTGGACTCACTAGATGAAACACCTTCTATGTAAATGACGCTAAAGGGAAGTTCGCTATGTGTTTGAATTTGAGCTATATAGTCTAGTTTTCTATAATGTATCTTTAATATGCACCTGAAATATGATTATTATTAATTTATATTCAAGAATTTTAAAACAAAATATTAGACAGTGTGAAATTTGGAATAAATTATCTTTTAGGTTTATCAGTTTTGAATTGTGACTTATACCTTAAAGCTTACCATATTTACTTTTTAGTTACAGTAAAGAGATGAAAATTTAGAATATTTTATTGGAGAAAAATAAAGGGGACAACTTATGCTGTTATCTGTATCTTTTCTTCTTATAGCTAGATTCTTGTTTTACATGTAGCAAAATCTTATCTTATTTTACCTTGCATTTCCATCCGGATTAATTCATTCATGCTTTGCTTCTTTATCTAATGGCATCAGAACTTTTATGAGATTGAGAAGAAAGCAGATTGGTCAAGATTCAATGAATACTGTCGGTAGGGAACTGATGGCCTTTTATAGCATTCTTGTTGATAATAGTAATTATTTACCGTATTTTTATGTTTCTTTTAATCAACTAGTTATATGCTGACTTTTACTAATGTTTATTTTGGGCGGTCTACTTATAATTTGTTGTTATGTATGGGTACCTACATTCCACCAATATGTCATCTTGCAACTTGCTAGTCATGTTGGTTAGAGGTAGGTGAGTGAATGTTGGAGTTGATCCTAATGAGTTTTAGGGAGAAATTTTTTATGTGTATTTGAAAATGAGTTCTGATCACTTCAGTCCTGAAAAGAAAATAATCACAACTTCTACTACTGTGCTTTTCCTTCTATTCATGATTTAGGATCGAGTTCTAAATAGTTTTCCATATTAAATAATCAAACATAAATACTTTTTAAGTTGAATTGAGAGATCCCAGCAGAAAGAATGATATAAAGAAAAGAGAAGCAAAGAGAAATGGCCAGATTGCTGAAAAAGAGTTCCATTGAAGGGGAAAACGAGAAATCTTTAGCAATTTACATCTTTTCAATAGGCTGCCCAGGCAATGGATTGTGAAAATGTCATATCCTGCTCCTGCAAGTTCTGAAGTACAATTCTTCTTGAGATTAGAAAAAGCAGATTCTCACATCTCGTCTCAAGTTTCCTTAACATGGGAGAAATCACATTAAATTTTTTTTTCTGTACATGTATTCGCTACTTTGTTGGCAAAACGGACTTCTTGTTATTCACTTGTAATAACGTATTATTTCTTGGTTCCTCTCTTCATTTATCATCCAAGTTTTAAAAACTTTTCCAATTTTTTTTTTTCAGAAATGTATATCAGATCTATACTGAACTTACCTTAGGTACATTACGTCGCAAAGGATTCAATTCTCGCAAATTTCACTATCACAAATTTGATATTTTAGAAGTTGATTTTATTTGCTAATTCATTAGATTATCTCCATCCGTTCATGTTATAACTTACAGATCATCGACTTGTGAGTTTAAGAGCTCTTGAAATTCAACCACCAAGCCCTCGTATTTTATAATGGGAAAATTGCAGCAGAGGCCCCAAATTTTTAATAAATTAGCAGACTTTACCCAAACCTTTAATTTGTTTGAACTGTCACCCCAAATCTTTCGAAACGTTGCGACGGAGGCCCTTTTGGATGGTTTTCATCTAAATGTCTGTTAGTTGACAAAGAAATTTGAGTTTGACCATATTTTTAATATGTTTGAAAGGGTAAAATAGTAACTTTACATTTATTACATTAAAATAACCTAAAAATTAAATTAAAAAAATAAGAAATAAAAAAAAGGTTGTCTTCTTCCTCTCACCCTAACCCCACCTCAAACCCAAATTCATGGGTTTCCTGTATATCAATCTTTGGGTATGTTGAGATCCAGCAATAGATTGATGAACACTCTAGCTACAGAAGGAGCTAATAAGTACGATTTTACAATACAAAAGATAGAGAAGAGGTGAAACTGAAGACTAAAGTCATGACTATGACTATTAAAGGGACATTGATTAATGAAGATCCATTGGCTGTTTTCAAAATTGATGAGATTTTGCTTCCCAAAGAGTTGTTCAAGGCGGCGCCGCTTATCCGGCTCCAAAATTGCCAAAGCCAGCCAAGTCTAAGGCTAAGAGTGGTAGTGAGGAGGATGCAGATGCTCCGGCTCCCGACGACGACGACGACGACTTTGTGCTAGCCGATGAGACGATGAATAGTAATGCTGCTACAGGAATCCATGGAGGGTGGTTTATTAAAGGAATTCTCAGTTTGTTTCTTGGAGTTTTTATGTGCAATATTTGATTGGGGAAAAAATATTTGGGTTTGAGGTGGGGGTGTGGTGAGAGGAAGAAGACGACCTTTTTTTTTTAATTTCTTATTTTTTTAATTTAATTTCTAGGTTATTTTAATGTAATAAATGAAAAGTTACTATTTTACCCTTTCAAAAATATTAAAAATTTGGTCAAAGTCAAATTTCTTAGTCAACTAACAGACATTTGGATGAAAACCGTCCAAAGGGCCTCCGTCGCAACGTTTCGAAAGGTTTGGGGTGACGGTTGCAACAAATTAAAGGTTTGAAGAAAGTCTGCTAATGTATTAAAGGTTTGGGGCCTCTGCTGCAATTTTCCCTTTTATAATTCAGGAGAATTTCTTGAACTCCTAGATGTTTTTTTGCCTGGAATCTGGTCAAATGAATGAAGCCTTTGGGAAAAGATAAATTGCTGAACTCATGAAAGCTTTTATTTCTGAAGATTGCAGGGTCTAAAGTATCCTCTTCTGGTCAAGAGGTTTGCTTGTCAGGTTATGTCTGGAGTTGTTTCTGCTGACAGTCTTGACATACTTCAACCAGCAAATTTAACTTCTGAAATGGTTTCAATGGTAAGCATCTCCATGTCCTCTCTGAAGACCTTATGTTTTGCACTTGGAATTTGTAGATAACCTGGACATGCTCCTGCATAATTATACATCAGGAAAAAAATGTTAGTGCCCTGAAAAAATTCTTCTTATGGATTTCTTTGTTCAAGAGAAAATTGGCCTCTTCGACGCAAAAATACGTTTAACATGCCAGATTCTAAGTCATCTACTGGTATATTTGGAAAAGAAAAAAAAAACAAAAATAGTTAAAGAGAGGTACAAGCAATCATGTTGTAAGTATTCTAAGTGAAAATTTATGATAAATTTATTGGTTTATTTTCCTTCCATTGGTTTTCAGATGGAAAAGGAATTTTGCCTGCTAAGAAGCACTTTTCAGGAAACAGATATTAAAGGGGAGCAGATGGCTTGTATCCTTGCGCTGTAAAAGCTCATCAAGATTAGCTATCATTTAATTCACTTTTTACCCCTGATTTCTTGATGCTTGGACACTTTTTTACAATTTTATGATTTTTTTTTGAACGGAAAATTCATAGCGTTTCAAAGAGCGTATATCCTTGACTTGCTAGTTTTGACCAAGGAATGGTATACTGGTGTTTTGGCTCGGATGCGCATCAATGCCTTCCGTATTGAATTGCCTGGAGGATCCTACGAAGATTTGCTTTCCTCAGCAGCTGCATCAATAGAAGCAGAAATTGCTGTAGGCAGTGCTGTTTATATGCTTCCATCCTTCTACAATCACGATTGTGGTAAGATCTCTCATTTCATGGCAAGCTCAGTACTTACTGTTTATTTTATAGCCGTAGGAACACCTATTCTGGTTGATGGCAAATTAGTCCCAAAAATTGTATTTTCCATAAGAAAGGGTCCCTCGTCAAATTGTCTGTTCCAATCAAGCATTAAATCAGGTGACAAGACAGTTTTTCACGTTCGAGTTATTAAAATAATAATAATAATAATAATATAAAAAAAAAATGTCAAAATAGAGAAAAACGCCCTCCCATCGTCCAGCCCCGTCCCCCTCCGTACTGTCACCTTCAGAATTGATGAGCACAATCAATACCCAAAAATCCTTGGTGTCACAAAATAATTTTGAAGGCATTAATCTTACTTCTTT